CAAAGTATGAACGCCCTCTTGTGTGAGGGGAGAGATGTACCTACCAGGAACGTTAAGCGTGCTTGCAAAAGCGCGATTTTTTTGAGGGCCTTTGCTATTCCAGTCAAACTTCATGCGAAGGCGCCTAAAGTCTATTTGAGGGGTTTTTGTATGCAACGAGGATTCACCTATTATACGGTACTACCTTTTATTCTTTTTACTTTTTAGAAGCCCGCTAGAAGCTCATTATCGGCGGTTTCTTGCTATAGCCGCAACTCCCCCCCCCCCCTCACATTGCTGACCGATTTGTTAACCACGTCAATCAAAGCCGTTGATGCCCAATCGGACCCGAATATTTCCAGAAGTGTGTACGATTTCTGCACGGCCGTCTCTGTGAATGCTAATCCGGGTGTTGTTGGTCGACCTACTCGATCAGGTGCTCGTTCTTCTTCGCACAAAAACTTCAGTGGTGAAGACGGACCAGTGACCGGCACGGATTTTGTGGGCGTCGAGATGTACGCGAAATTGACCAATTTCATCGAGTCATATGTAAAAGCAAGGCTGGAGGTGGGCTTTCTAATGTGACCCTTTTTTCCTCTTTCAGTTTCGTACGAAAGTTAAGCTGTTCACATTGCAGGGAGCGAGGGACCTTCTTGGCGAAGACTTGCTGCGATACTACACTACACAATGGTCGGAGTTCAGATTTTCTTCCAAGGTATGTCGTTAGGTTCATCCTCAGTCTGATACCATCTGGTTTCAAAGTATGTCTAGGTTGTTGATGGCATCTTCTCGTATCTCAACAGGCACTGGATAAAACGGGAATTGGACGAGGGAAACGGGAACATTTATATGATTTATACGGTACGATTTATTCCTTGTTTCATTTAATTACTCTGTTCTTGTTATAAGGGAAATGACTCCTATCAAGCGGATGACAGATGCGCAAAAGAGCATTTTTTTGAGGGGGGGGGGGTGGGTGGTGGGGAAACAATAGATTTTTGTAGTACTTGACTTGTAAGTGCTTTCTAGACACACGTGCCTAGATCTAGGCTTCTTTCGAGTGCACCCCCACTCGACTTGCAGTTTTTCGGGAGCAATGGAACAGTTTTTGAAAACTCCACAAAAGTGGTGGGAAGTTGGGAAAATACAGACTCCATATTCCCAGGATGGGTGGGCGTGGTTGCGTTCTCATGTTATCGCGGCGACGGGTGCGTTTTGATTGAATATTACGTCCCGGAGAACTGTAGTCGTCTCTGTCCAGCGCACGGCTGAAGGACGGTTGCATCAAATGGAAATATCCCAAAAAAAGCATCTTATGTCAAAAGAAGTGCGCAGCTCGGGCCCTTGCCGCCTCGCCCTCGGTATATGAAGATATAAAGACTAGCGGAGTAGGCTGCAAATCTTAGAAATCCCGAAGTGAAGGTTTTTTCGGCATGTGTCAATTAACGTCTGTCTGGTTATGTTTGAATCGTATCTGCTCCCCGACTCTGAAAGCTTTCAGCTAGCATTGGTGATTTGGAAACGGAGTTTGTTCATGGAAAGCAAAGAACGGGTTACCGACGCTGTGCTCGATTTGATCAGGCGGGAAAGGAATGGCGAAACTATTTGTCGTAAACTCATACGTGATGTGACTGATTGTTATGGTTAGTCGTTTTCCTCTTTCTTCTGTTCACTGGGTTGGACCTGCCCCTGAACGCTTTATTCTAACCCCTCAACGGCGCGTGGTCAGAAACGTCTGATTTTTGAGCTTTCTGAGTTTCTTAGAATGATTCATTGTTATGATTGCCGTTGCAGTTGAGCTCGGTATAGAAGAAGATGAGACGCCAGACCAAGTGCGGTCTGCCCAGCCAAATCCCAACGCAAAGCTCAAAGTTTACATGGTACACGGCTTCTTTGAACTGGTCGAACTCGAAATGGAAAACAGTTTTTATTTCAGGACCATTTTCGAAGCCAAATTCCTTCGAGAAACTGAAAACTACTATGCTAATGAAGCGCAGGTTTTCCTTGAACACAATCCATTAACGGAGTATATGAAAAAGGTGACGACCAATTCACCTATTAATTTGTAGTTCTTTTTATTTCCATGCGAATTTCAATGTTCCTTCTAAAAGGCAATATTTCAAGGTTGAAAGAAGACTGGAGGATGAGCGCGCTCGATGTGATATGTACTTGCACATGGCAACGCAAGAACCTTTGTCGAAGACTTGTGAAAAGGTCCTTATTTCCATTCATTCCCCTCTCAAAACCCCTAAGGTTGTGGAGTCTTCTCATCATTAGAAGTAGACACCAGCAAACCATTTTCGCTAGCGGTTACAGTCTTTCTCGCTGCAGACCCTGGAGCGTATCAAGAAGGCTGGGTTTAGCGCATGCGGCTTCGGTCAGTTTTCTGCCAATTGCGGTCGCTTGCCAGTTTCAGAATTGGTGGAAAACAAGCTGGTTCCGCGTCGAACCCAGTCCTCTCTCGATGCATCTTAGCATCCGCTGCAACCGAAACTTTATGTGTCTGGTTTCAGGTTCTCATTGAGGCACAGCTCGAGTTATTCCAAAATGAGTTCGGCGCATTGCTTGAAGCGAACAAAGACGATGATTTGGCCCGAATGTACAAGGTGCGCACTTCAGGTCTTTATTTAATGTCGCTGGTAGAAATAGACAAAGAGTCATTCGTTAATTATTTTCTGCTGAAAACCTTCTACTTGTTGCAAATAACTCCTGACTCTTTGAAGTTAACCGTCCTTTCGCCATCTTTCAACTTAATGTTTTCAATAAATCGTCACCTCGTAACTGCTATTGAGCGCAGTTCGGCGACGGGGGGGGGGGCATTTTGCACTTTTGCTACTTCCCATCGACGTGTCGACCTATCTAGACAGCCTCTTCTCGAGTTGACAGGTTTTAACATGATGGCTTGACGACCTTGCTCCAGCTTCACAAGAGTTCACACGTTTCGCCAAAGTGAGACTGGCAAAGCGGTACTAAGGAAGCATGACAGTACAGAATGCCCCTCCCCGTCGCCGAACAGCGCCATGCTATTGTGTTTGCCAAGCTCATCAGCCTTTAGACGAGCCATCATAGATCCTCTGTTCTTTTACATTTATACAAAGTAGCCAGTTCAGCTGTGCGAACGCGTCGAGGATGGTCTGAATAATTTGCGGTCAGCCTTGGAGAGTCATATCACCAAGGAAGGACTGGCGGCAATTGCAAAGGTGGCTGACACAGCCTTCACGGTAAGTTGTCGACTTGAGTCCTCAACTTGATTGGATGATTGCAGTGGATGCTTCCCGTTGGTCTCTTTAAAGACTTGCGCCCTTTGCTTGTTTAAAGGGTTTATGTATGCAGAGCTGATTACGTCAGCCCGTTTAGTTGTGTAGAGTGAAGCAGTCTCCACACGCTTCGCTTCAAATGGTTAGCGCTGAAATCGACCTTTATTTTCAGGATGCCAAGCTGTATGTTACCACAATCCTTGCCGTACATAATCGCTATTCTTCACTCGTGGGAAATGCCTTCCAAAATGAATCTGGTTTTATTCAAGCACTTGATAAGGTATTATTTCGATTAATAGTTCACTGTGGTTTTTGTATAATATCATCGCGAAACATCCATGAATGTTACAATAGGCTGCAACGACATTCATCAACAAAAATGAGGTCACTGCTCGTTCAACGTCACAGCAGATGAGCAAATCTCCAGAACTGCTGGCAAAGTAAGATTTCAGTGGATTGATTTCTCAGTAGTTATATGCAGTGTCGTTAGAGTCATGTGGAGGGTTCGCGTGATGAGTCGGCGTCCTCAATTGACCGCTTATTTTAGTGCCTTTAGGATCGAGATCAGGTGTGCACTACGATCTGTCCAAGTAGTCTCAATCGTGGCAAGATTCTTGAAATTACAGTTTCGCGCAATTCGTGCATAGGCCGTGCGCATACTTTGCCAAAGAGGAGATGCGTAAAAAGGAGTGTATACGAACCGAACTGCTATATCCGCGATCCGAGAATGTGCCATCTATCGATGCCCAGCTCAGTTGGCGCTCTGACTCCCCCGAATGGGGTGTTGTTCAGATATATACGCATACATCTATCTTTTCACGCAATCCAATCGTCGGTACTCTCACGGCGCGAACTCTCCGCAGATGCAAAGTATGAACGCAGCCTAAAGGTACGTATTCCGTTCTGATGGGCCGGCGCCTTCTCTGGATATGGTACTCCTGTCTGCCAGCATGAAAGCCTTACTACTTTCGCAGCTCAAAAATACGTGAGGAAAGCGCGACCACTCCCAAAGAGGCGATGACCCTGCCCGGTGGTCACGTCATTCGGCATCGCCGATTTCATTTCCAGCTGCTTTTTGATGGATCTGCTGGCTTCATTTCCAAAGGTGAGAGTGGGGTAAGGAGGAAGAAGTGGCACCAACAAGTGGGAAATTCATCCAACCGCCTCCCTTTCTAAGCCTTACGCCCACACAAACGCAGTTCAGCATGAAGTTCCATATGAAGCATTTCGGGTGGAAATTTAACCACCTTTTGTTATTTGAGATTATTCTACTAGTGTATGAGCAACTCACCATTTCTGAACTCGGGCCTTGAAAGAATCTGAATCTTTGAATCTCTTTAATTTCACCTTTGATTCTCACTGTGTACTGAAAAAAAGTGTCCAAAAAGGCCTAAAAAAGCTATCACTTTTTTGAAATTTCCAGTATATGACTAGTGCTATATTGCTGTTTTGTCCAGGTACTGCGATCAGCTGCTTAGGAAGAGCAGTAAAATGCCCGAAGAAAACGAGCTTGAGGATATGCTGACGCAAGTGGTGAGCTTACAAGCGTTGTATTCTCCTTCCTTATTCGTTGCAGCATATCAGGGTTTTTTCCCAGATATTTAAATGCCTTTGTGAGCTGTATATCAAAGCCTTTACGTAAGTGAGTTCATACGCTTTATTTTTTTTCAGATGGTCGTTTTCAAGTATATCGAAGACAAAGACGTTTTCTCCAAATTCTATACAAAGATGTTCAGTAAAAGGTAAGAAACCCCTCGTATAGTTTTGTTTTCTTTGATCCGAATGTAAAGCTCTCTAAAACATTCCATGACGTATTCATCATAACTGGTTTTCCTAAGGGTTTTCGTACTCAGAGACTCTACAGTAATGGATGAATGAATGCTACTTTAAACCGCTTTGGTTAGAGTTTCGGCGGCTTGTGGCTGTTTGATATAAGCAAAAGATTTCTTGAGAGGAAATCGAAGTGCTTCACGTTTCGTTTTTAGATTGATATCTGAAACGTCCGCGTCGGAGGAGGCTGAAGTAAGTCTGATCAACAAGCTGAAGCAGATGTGTGGATTCGAATACACAAATCGATTGTCCAAGATGATTAATGATACCCAAATCAGTAAGGTACGTTGGATTTGTTTCCCCTTCACATGTTAGACCGCTTTCGTACACGACGCTATCGGAGATTCGTGGAATTCAGGGAACTGGAGAAATTGCGACTTTTGGTCCTTATTTATGCTATTTTTTCCGGAGATTCCCCTCAAAAGCATAGGAACTGGGGTTCCGCTATTTTCAGATCAGGGTGCAGCATCATAATGGGAGAAAGGTGATGTCAAACGACCCTCCCGGGGTCGTCTGACATCACCATTTCTCCCATTTCATCACCATTTCAAGTCCGATTATCTGAATTGGTGGGTATAGCTTGCTTCTCGGCGGAATCCCCGATTAGCTGAAATTGTTGTGTATGCGGTCCTGTTCATGGCATTGTAATTGTATACTTTTGGCTACTCGTTTTACTCCCTTGGCAACTGGTACCCCCTATTTGTTCTAGAGTCGTTTGTTCTGAAATATTCTGCTCAGGATTCATGTGCTGAATTCCGTGACTACCTAGCCAACCGCAACGTCGACTTGGGAATTGACTTCAACATGCTCATCTTGAGGTAATTATATGTCTGTTCAGGCTCAAATGTTCTTGTTATTTCTTCTTTATTTAGCGCTAGAGGGGCATTGTCAAGTTTTGTGAATCAGGCTGCGTTTGCATCGGGGTTTGAGATACGGCAGCATTTTGAGCGACTAGGAACGTATAGATATCGATCTGTCGTTTTCAGCGTACGCTACCGTTTCCAGTGACTGCCTCCCAAAAATCAACCTACCCACGAAATGCTCAAAATTCTGTCGCACGCTGGCGTGCGCTGGATCGATAATTATAGCTCACAACTTGTCGCACAAAACGAACGCTGACGCGGAGTGTGAACGCAGCCTTGTTGTTGAACACCAGGCCGCTCACTATATGGCAATTTTTCAGCTCTGGTTCATGGCCAGCGCTACCGACTCTGAAGATGCACTTACCACAAAAGCTTAACGTCGCCATTGAACAATTCACAGCGTTCTACAATTCGAAGCATAGTGGCAGAAAGCTGACTTGGGTAGGGAGACACCATTGCATTTCACTTGTTTCACCACTACTACGAGTGTTACAGGTTTTATCGCAATCTCGCGGTGAAATATATGCGTTTGGCTTTGGAAAGAAATATGTCTTCACGGTGAGTTTGGGCTCACGCATTTCCTTCCGGAGCTATCATGAATTGTGCCAGATTTCGTCGCTCCTAGTGCGTTGGTTGTGGCGCTCATGTAGCACTGGTGCGCGGCCCAGTATTCTTGGGTCATTCGCGCTGTCGCACAGAACCTTTATTCTTCTGACGATACTTTCTCATTTCTTGCAGATTTGTGTTTTGAGAGAAAGTGGAGAATTCGATTTCCCTTTTCTGCTATAAAAAGGCGCCACCCTTCCACCCAGTTGGCACAGCATGTCAAGGGAAAAGTGACGTGTCAGTGACGTCACGTAACACGTTAACGGCGAGTACTGAAACGTCACTGACGATGATGCTTCGAAAGTTTCCTCGTCATTAGCATGTTATGTGACTGAACATTTCATTTCCTCTCAAACAACTGAAGTCCTTGTGCTACACGTGCGCCATAGATTTGAGACTAATCTTTTTATATATTTTTCACTTTACTTCCGAACGTATTTCTATTTTTCAGACCACAACAGCGCAAATGGCAGTTCTTCTTCTGTTCAACGATTCTGTGGAATACTCGATTGGATCACTAATTTTATCTTTAGGGATGGACAAAAAGACGTTGTCGCAAGTCTTGATCTCTCTTGTCAAGGTATTGTGGAGAATTTTGAGCTCAGTTCGGCTGGGTGGGGGCACCACGTGGTGCTAAGCGAAGTTAGTTCGGGCGAATCTGTAAAGATCTGTGAATCTCCGCAGCCAAAGTGGGTCATCTGTACTTCGCAAGATTCACTTGTCTGACCAAAGCCTAACTTGTTGATTTACATGAACTAACCAGCGGAACTGGCGGGTGGACGAAGTGCCCCTCCCAAGCCGAACAACCCTGAGTTTTGTCCTATAAACCTTTCCGGAGGTGAAATATAGGTCAGACATTAGTTTTTAAGTGGTTTTGATGTGTTACGTCGTTACAGAATGATGTCCTGAAGAGTTCTGAAAGCTTGGATGTTTCATCAGAGGCTAAGGATACTGTAGTCATAAGCCTGAACCAGAACTACTCGAACAAAAAGATCAAGGTGAGGAACTCTTTCCTTTCGTGAACTGCGGATCAGGCTTAACCTCTTCACCTGGACCCACCCCTTTTTGGTTTTTGTTTTCGGGCCGTTTGCCTTGATTTTCGTTCAGCTCTTAGCAGTTCAGTATTTTGTTGAATCACTCTCATAACAAAGATCTTTTTCAGGTTGATCTATCCAAGATGGTGATGCGGACCGATACGAAGCAGGAAACGGAGACTGTACAGAAGAATGTTGACGAGGATAGGAAGAGCGTTATTAACGTAAGTTTTTCGTGGCTCTGCACTGATTTATTTCATGAAAAATTCTGTAATTGACTAAAACGCTTCAAACTTTCGAAGCAAGCCTTTCTAAAACAAGATATTTCCAAAACTGTGGATTTAGGCCTGTATTGTAAGAATTATGAAAACGCGGAAGAGGATTTCCCATTCTCAGCTGATGACCGAGGTTTGCTCCAAATCTTCATGTTTTTTTCTCCTGAAAGTTCCTCACTTTATTTATGCTCTCTTCATGGCTCAAGATATGAGACTGCGTTCATGCTTTGCGTCATCATTTCGAGCGTACACTAGCGTTCTGAGGTTTCGAGCGACCAGGAAAGTATAGGAATCGATCCAGCGTACGCCACAAATCTCAGCGACTGCCCGTGAAAAGCTCCAAACGCTGGCATGCTCTCAAACGGCTAGATCGATATTTGAGTTTTTGTGGTCGCTTGAAACGCTGGCGTTTTCTTTAGGCGCTGGCGCAGAACAGAAACACAGCCTTACATCCTCTCCTCTTGTTTTCCTTAGCTATGCAATCATTTAAACAAATTTCAAACAGTTCTTTGCAGGTTTTGCAACAATTGTCAGCCCGTTTCAAGCCAAGTGTGGAAATGGTGAAACGTTGTATTTCGCAGCTAATCGAGAAGGAGTATATGCGTCGTGACGAGGCGGCCAGGGAGATGTACGAGTACATGGCTTAGACGGTGTATGGTATTGTCTACCTCAAAGCGCTACAATAATTAATCCTATCTGATCAATACCCGCTTTCTACGCTTTTGCCTATGCTTTTGCCTTTAGCGTCAGTTTTGTGAGACATTTCATTATATTTTTCCATGATGTGACAGCTCTATGTCAAGGTTTTGTGTATATTTTGCAATTTCATAATAACCCATGGGCCATCTTCGTGACCCTGAAGTGACGCAGATCGTCGCGGAATTTTGCTGGTTTTACTGATTTGGTCCTTTCTTATCAAGCAATCATTTTCGTCGGTAGTCTCATTGCAGGGTGGTAGGTGTTTGCTGCCTAGTACTATACTCGTTATGCAACTATTTCATTCGGATGGCAAATAAGCACAGTGTCCGCCTTCCCCCTCCCTTAGTCTTTTACTGGACAATTAGGGTATGCGCGGTAATGGTTCGTAATCAGCACTTATGTGCCACTTTGACCGCATCGCTGTCAATTTTTTTGTAAAAGGCTCTTTAAGGATCATCAGCTGCATACTCAATATTGCTGATTTTGGAAATTACACGGCTCGCTCGCCCTAGTAGGATCGCTTTCATACTAAGCGTCAGTGCTTTGAGCGTGGGGCAAAGTTCGGAGCGTTTTGAACGTACGCCACCACCTGACTTGACGTTTTGAGCGTACCCCACCACTTGACGACTAATAAAGCATAAATATCGATCCAAAGCTTTGAGCGTCCGCCAGCGTTTTCAGGCTGCCTGCGAAATTTCAAAACTACCCGCATAAACACTGAAAGGCTAGATCGATATCCGTAGTTTCCTAGTCGCTCAAAACACTCGAGATGCTGGCGTACGCTGAAATGGCTAACGCGAAGTATGAACGCAGCCTAACACATCCAAAGCTTTTTAGGTTCAAAGTGGTCCTGTGTGATCCGGTGTTTTCTGTAGCTTGATTTCATGAGAGTTCTTTCAAACGTGGGTATTTGTTTTTTTTTTAGTTTTGCGCGAGGTTGGTGGGAACTGGGCCGATAGGTGGACTCTAAGCTTCCCTTAGAGAATGCGGGGTGAGTAATAGGAACATGGAGTAATGTATTACCGTTTAAGATTTCCGCTGTTGCGTTCCTAAAAATCTAAGTCTGAACTGATCCCTATTACTGTCTTTTCTCCTTTTCTTGAGTGAATCTTTAAGGAGTGCATGTCATTCCCATTGTATTGAATTGGTTTTTTCTGAAACTGATGTGCCTGTGGAAAGTTTTCTTCATGAAATACTTGTTGTATTGACTTGATTTGATATGTCTCCCCCCTACTCAGCTGGATGCCAATGTTCAGTTTCTGAGAAATAGGCATAAAGTTTGTCCCCTTATAGTGAAAACTCGCCGTTCCCCTGAAGCTTGTTAGGATTTCGATGCCATTTTATCCCAGTGTACTTTTCTTTGTATTCTTTTTATCATCTTGCTCGTATAGTCTCACACGAAAGTTGCTCTGCTCTGGCCGCCGGTTGGCCATCTGGGAAGTCCGCCTGGTGACCCCGCAACGGCCATATCGTCTGCTTGTACACTCAATGCCCAGTCATATTGTGGATTATTTTTTCATTCATATGTGTCCCGTTTTCTTCGAAATCGATACGGATTTTCATTTCTTAGCCATGTGATTCTTCTCGATAGATATTGTTCAGCACATGGTACACGTTTTTCATTACTAAAAGCATCACTGCACAGTTATTTTCCTTTTGTTTTCTTTGTGATGTTTAATCAATCAATCACCTTGTCGCACGGTTTTTCCCATTATTATTATGTAAATTCCGATACTCGTGTGGAAATAAATTGGCTGCAATAATAGATTTTGTTCGATCGAATCTGTCCTCTGGATCATATTCCATCATATCGACATCCTTATTTTCAATTAAATATACATTTCGTCATTGCAAAACTAGGTAATAGTGTTCAGATAAGAGTTTTTGTTGTGCTAAATGTTTCATCTTCGAAGAAATTAGCAGAAGAGGTCGTCACGAATGCCCCAAGTAGGTTTCGATGGATTTGATTTTCAGCATTGGACGAGTTGGCGGAGAGAAGCGAGCGAGAGCCACACTGTGACGCCGCTAGGCGTAATAATTGATTGGAGCTCCACCAAACATTTGTGAGGCCGTGCGTATCCATAATTGGAGAGGGCGGGATTTCTGACCATTCCAAGTCTCCAGCGTTGCACAGCGCCTTCGACTGGTGATTCTAATAACTTAGATGCGACTGCAAGCTTTTGCTCTTTGTGCTCGGGAAGATGCCATTCTTCAGGTGATCACAGGGTGTACCTTTGAAGAAACCCCATAGAGAAGGTAGCTGATAGCAGGAGTGATGACTTGGAGCCAGAACATGGTATTGCTACTTTATTTACCATGCGGTATGCGTGGGAAAAATAGGCGATATATAGGAGGTCTGCATATTTTGGAACTGTTGAAAGTTGCTTTCCAGGTACCCGTTAATTTTCTATAGTTAGTGACTAGTGGATATTCTCTTCCACCTGCTACTGATGTTTTGATGATTTCTTGGCAAGCTATCTAAAACATAAGCGGCGTGGAGTCTTCATAGCTCTAGAAGGCGAGACGTGCACTCGAAAGAGGTGGGTGGCGCGTTTATTCGTATTTACATATTTTGTTGACGAACATCGTTTTACGGAACACGTGGACTTTTTCTTCAGTTGGTTAGTCGGGAATGGTTTTCTTCCCAGTTTTTCGAGTGTAGTCTGACTTGAGTGGCAGCGAGTTCGATTGCGGCCGGTATTAGTTTCTCACGCTCTATCGTTTATCGCTAATTCGTAAATGTCTCCGAGTATGACGCTTCCTTGCGGTTCTTAACCAGGGAAGTCCGCCAACTTACCATGGAACTTTGAATGGAGACCTGGGTAGACCGATAGAGTCTATAAGGTTATTTACAAATAGATAGTTATAGATAGCAAAACTGCAACCTGCATTTCACAAGCAACTTATGAGCAGGTAAAGTTTGTAATGGTGCAGTAGGGTGGAGGCTTGGTGGTGAGCTGTGAAGCATAAGCGAGGAATCGCATACGTCGATGTCGTCAAGGTTTATATTGTAGGAATTGATCATTACCCGGAAATCATCGCTTTAAATCTCCTTTCCCTCAGAGCGTGTTCATACTTCGCGATCGGATCGCTCAAGTAACCATTTTGCGAAATATGAACGTCCTCATACTAATGAGCATAAGAGGGTGAGGGGGGGGGGAGGGGTACGGCTATGAGTTCACGTATAAGGGCAGGTGCAAAACGGAGACTGAGTATCATTTTAAACCAACCCCTTTAAATTGCATGAAATATCTTTTATTCTTGTAGCTGTCGAATAATCATTGAAAATGTCATCAAGTCGTAATAAACAACATTGTGCGTGCTTTTTTACCCATGACAGTCCCTAGTAAGTTTCCATTCAGTACGTTGGGACAAAAACAGCATAAAAGCCGCGATTATCAATTTAAGTTCGATACTCGTGTAATTTTCATTCAGTGATTGTTCGCGTTTCTGTTGTGCAAGCTCACTTTTTCACTTTTACTTATTGCGGAGTTTTCGAGGGCTTAGGTTTTTGCAGCATCTGTCGCGGAACATTTGAAGCCACCAATGGAATCTCCCCGTCGCTGATGAAATCGCTCTGAAAAACCCTATTCCTACCCGGCTTTCTTGAAAGTGTGTTTGTCCCCTCGACGGCTCTTATTTTCACTCGACATCGCGCGCAATCCAGTTCAGCTACAGGTTTTATCCATTAGCTGCAGCCGACTGGCGTGGGGAACATTCCACTTAACAGTTCGCTCCTCATAGATGGTCTCTGGGAGCTTTTGAGATGTACTACGAAGAATCGGCAGTTGTTACACATGAGTAACACGGAGGAGTGTCTTGTCACTGAAACGGCATCGCTGTTATTTGTTGTCGTATTTTATTACTCATCTTCTCCTAATGGGAAGTATATGTGGGGATGGCGCTAGCCTACCGCCCAGAAAGAATCGGCTCCTCTGCTTCAGTACTTGTACTGATCGAAAAATGGTTATTCCAAGTACTGAACTTGTAATATAGCGTCATTTTATTCTCTTGCACTATGTGATTTATATTTTTGTTGTGCGAGTGGTTTGCGCGTTGTTTATAATTTGTTTTCTCACCGTAAAACCCTTCTCCGACTGGTCTCACATTAGCCCGTTTTAAATGGATTTGTCAGCCAAAGGTAAAGGATAATAACTGGGAACTATAAGAATATGGCTATGAGTACCACTGGTATACTAGTGTGCAGCGCAAGCAGTAAAGAACAGTCAGAAGCTTTCGATAGTGAGTAGTTTTCCTTTACGATCCTCGATTCTATTCTACTCAAGTTCCGAAAACGCGGTTTCCGAGGTGTTTTGTGGAAAAATGCGTCTGTCGCCTACTATTACATCTCATTTTGAGATTATTGTTGATTTGTTATCGCATCGACTTACTTGACCTTCTTTCTTTTTGAATTGTCAGAATGTTTTGGTAAAAAAAATGTTTTCGAAATGATCCACACATGAGGTGTTATTTAGTTGTACCGTATCGTGTGAAGTCAACTAAACTTTTTTTTCAGAATGTGGCCATATTGTCTTGTAGTTTGGCTGGTGGTGTGGATTTGGCCAGCCACCTGTCTTTTCCCGGGAGCAGTCCCGGATGACGGTGATGTCCGCCATCTTTATCCAATCACACAGATCAATATCGGCCTACAAGATCATGCCCATATGATACCGTATTTGCTGGGATGGTTGGAAAATATTGAATATCCGAAGAGTCGACTTCGTATCGTTTTGTATCTGTTAAATAAGGACGATGCTACGGAAAACCAAGTGACTTGGTATGTTGGTGAATTACCTTCTGTTCTTTTAGTCCTCTTAAAACCAAATTGTTTCTGTCCATATTATACGGGAGGCGGAGAACGTGTAGTGGTAAGGGCAAGGTCACCAGGTATTCTATCCTGTTAATCTTCAGAAGATTATCGTTCTTCTCAGTGGAACTTGGAGACGTTTAAGTGGGAATTTAGAGGTTCCCTGGAATGTAAAGTAGACAAAATTCTCGTTATAAGAGTAGAGTCATGCCTTGTGCCAATGCGGCGCCCATACTTTTCACCCACCAATGAAACCCAGAATGGTAGATGGTTATCTTCATCTACCATTCTGCGTCAACCGAAATAAAGCAAGAGCTGGTTCAGGAATATGTTGGGAAGTTGACACTTGCTGTCCCTGCAGTGGCATTTCTCGCCCCTCATTGCCTCATTCTTTGAAGCGCAGGCCCGTCTCGATTTTTCACAGATTTGACTAGACTTTGTTCTCAAAGTTTGAACCCCTGGTCAGAAACATCTCCTCCATCAAAACGAAATTACGTGGTGGTCCGGAGACGCAGTTCTGGAGGCGCAAGTCAGTTCTGGCACCGGCTCTCGACGCGCAAGTAGCACATGTTTCGCGCCATGTATTCATGGTATTCGTGTACAAAATGGTCAAAATGTCATGAAAACAAACTCCAGTGGCACTTTGACCTTTTGAACACCATTATTGGTGGTCCAATCCTGGTCTTTTGAGGTGTCTCGGCACGAGCGCTAAACGATTTTGAGTCAAGCGGGTAAGGTATTCATGATCAGCCCGTTGAGATGCTGAGGCACAGAATTCCACACAGAGCTATCCTTGAGAAAAATCCCCTTAGGCAGCGTTCGGATTTCGCGACGACAGCGCTTCGGTCGCGCGATTGACGATCGATGCGCATGCTTTCGACTGCATTGATCGCGTCGAACGCGCGACCGAAGTGCTGCTGTCGTGAAGTCTGACCGCTGCCTTAAAAATGTGGCACTGAATCAAGAAGATTGAGGGGAAAAAAGGTGACTATGCCCTATAAAAGTTCTGCGGCATCGGCGCTGGCGCTGTGCTCTGGTAATAATCACACCATTTCTCGGTCAGATGAAAAGGTTCGAATTGAGTAGATTTAAGGCTTAGCAGAACCATGCACAAATGCTCAAATGAATAATGGAAATCGTGCTGCAGGTGGAAGAATTCTGTATCGTCGTTGTTTGCGTCATTGACTGTCGTGGCAGGTGAGAACAACTGGTTGGAAGCAGGCCTGAGAGGTGCACGATTACGTAAAGCCAGCCGGGTTCTGCTGATGACAGGGAACACCTTGCCAGTTAGGAGCACCTTGTTGCAGGTAATTCCTTTTCCAATCGGGCACCATTCCACATGAAGCTGGGAATCTCCGAGATTCTTCTAGCTGAAATCATGTCGGTTCTAACGGATTCTTTTGACAGGAAAAATGTCGTAGTGTTCAGGACCTCAATTCTACCGCTGTTGTGATGAGCGCGTTGTTTTCACCAACTCTTGACAGTAAAATCGCTAACTCTGTGGAAGTGAGCGATGACTTTCGCGATCGACAAGTGCTCGAAAGAAGAAAGGTTCGTGGGGTTATTGAACTTCTCCCCTTATGCAGCTTTGCAAGGGCGCCCTAATGCTATGGGCGCGAACGCAGCCGCAGGCGGGCCGATTGATACCGGGCGTGATTCAGCAAAGCCTATCTCCCACCCCCCCCCCCTCACCGCACCCTCCATACTGCCTCAAGCGCGCCGATCGATTCCCTTGCATTTGCCTCTATAGCACTGGAGCGCTGTTGCAATGTAGCGCAATCAGCGCGTGATTGTAAAGTGTGACCGCTGGCTTAGTCAGCCAGTGAAGGGACACTCACAAATGAGTGTTTAGTTCCCATTTCTGACTTCAAAATACTTCCTATTGCGGCAGTTTCAGGTCTCAGAAGCCGTACTACCTATGTTAATAAACATTGACACGATAGATTCGTCATACCTTACATTTGATGCGGACAACCTACCTCACTATAAGGGCACTGAAGACCCATTTGAGGTGAGCGAATGGGTTTTACAACGTCGTTTTGATGTCAGGCGTGTAGTTAGCTGGCCAATTTGATATGAAAAAAAACCTTAATTGAACTGAGTTTCGGTGGTTTTTCGTGATATTACTCATCTCAAAGGTTGAGCCTTGTGTGAATGCGAATACGGTTCGAGGAACGATTTGCTTTTGTTGCAACTTGTATCAGTGGAAATGCAATAGTATGAGGATACCGCACATTCGCTGACCCCAAGCATTAAGGTTTTTGTGGAATCGGCAGAAAGAATGCAAATCGACCTATGGATTGACAATCAGCAACTACATGGTTTCTACATCGACGAAAATTTAGAGGTCTATGATCGCCGAAGGACAGTAAGTGTTGTTTGAATGACTATAATCACCTAACAATATGTCTATATGACTTTTGACTTTATTACTGCCACCCCTTCAAAGGAAATAATGAAATGTCAGTAAGAATTCGCAGCCGTGACCTCGCAAATCGAAAATTCGGTCCACGTTTTGTTAATTAAGAATTTAGTAAGAATCATAAATGAGAAAGACTTTGTGGGTCTACACTCCCTATTTATTTCTATTTTCCTCCACTCTTTTGTAGAATACCTGCAAGTAAGCTGGATCCAATATTCCCCAAAAAATTTTGAATGCTTTAGAAAACTTTAATAAGATTTCATATACCAAGAAACTATTTTCGGCGCAGAGAGTGGGTAGGGGGGAGGGGAGAGACCGCCTTCTGCGCTTTCGCTGCTTCTCAAGTAGAAGTCTTTGAAATCCTGTGAAGCCATGAAGTGATACCAATCAAAGTTGTAGAGACCACCTCCAGCACTTGTAAATCAGTGAATATGACGATGGGAAGTAGCGAATGTAAAAAAATGCCCCCCCCCCCTCTTTTCCTCCTCACCCAAACCGAACGGCGCTGGCTGGATTTTCCGTCGTTTATGTTCGCCGAGCAATTTCTTTGAAATGAATGAGCTGATTTTTCCTTTTCTTTCAGCTCCGTTACCTTCTCGCTGATATGATTGCTGATGGCGGGCCATTTCCTTTGGCGTCTCATTCGGTTCGTCCATGGACACCAGAGCCAGAGTTATGGGATGTTGAAAAGTACGTTCACGAAGATTTTCCACAGAATTCGGTAAAAGCAGAAAAGTCTCTGGCGTTGAGTTTTCTGGAAAAGAAGAAATTACAGTAACGAGAGGTGTTTATATTATGTATTGTTTGAACCGAAACAATCCGAAGAGCATAGATGAATTCCTTTGGATTGAATCTTTTTGTATTACTTTCATGAACTTCACTGAGTTTACGTGTTGCAGGATCTATATGATTAATCTAAAACGTCGTCCAGAGAGAAGATTTAGAATGGAGAAAATTTTTGAAATTCTCGGTGAGTTCCTGCTATTTCAGAAGTCCTGAAAAAGCTTAGTATTGCTGTAGGTCGTGTGGTCCGCTTTCTCTAAAAAAAGCTGATATTTCTTTTCAGGAGTTGATGCGACGTATTGGGAGGCGACTGATGGGCAGGATCTACCCAAGGACTACCCGTATCGAGTCCTACCTGGATATATGGACCCATTTCATAAGAGACCAATCAAAGCTGGCGAAATCGGATGCTTTCTGAAGCCATTATAGGTTGGTTCAAGCGTTTTAGAAAATGAATTGATTGATTCTAAAGTAGTAGGAGATTGAGTAGGGTTCTAGAAGGCCATGAAGGGAGTGGTGTTGACGGAATGGGGTGCAAGTTGTCCGGAGAACAACGGAGAGTAGGGTTTTCGTGTAAGCGTACGGAACAGCGCTCCCGAGTTGGTTAGCAAACTTTCTGGTGTAAAAGGGTTTCGTATTACGGTCATCAAAGTTTGCACGGCTTTTTGGAGTGCTCCGCCTTCCACCTATCAGACTTGTCGCTTCAACAGTGCATTATTGGAATTTATCAGCAATAGCGGTAGTTTTTCAGACCTTCATTTTGCCAGTTTTTTAAGGTTGTTTCAGAATCTGGCAGGACGTTGTGAAGCTTGGTCTTTCGCGAGTAGCCGTTTTTGAGGACGATCTTCGTTTCACCAACGGCGGCTTGGAAAGGATCAGAGAGGTGCTGGAGGATCTTGACAAATCGAAAACGGAATGGGATCTTATTTATCTGGGCCGGAAGAAACAAGCTGACCAGGTAACAGATGAAAGGCTGGTTCTATGGGCACGATTGCTGGAGGGGGACGATTGTTGCCAGCGTCATTGGTAGGAAGGGCCGCGAGAGGCCGTTTGGCCACATCCCACTCAGCCCTTCTACCACTGACGTCGGCGACAACTGCCCACCCCCAGGCAATAAACTTGGTTTGAAGACACATAGTACGCTCACACACATTCAGGGTGTATGTGACTAGCAGCCCCCCAGCTGTCGAAGCATAGCGGTTTCCCCGTTCAAACATGCGCAGGAATGGAGATACAGGACCGTGAAACACGCTAGTTCGTCCATGCTCCGCCCAATGCCTTTTTGCGGCGCAGATTCCCGTCCTTCATAACATCCGTCGCAAGCGCGCGTGTCGCGTGCGGCTCCTTGGCACTTTGCCAAGTCCTTTAATTGCGCTCTCAAATACAAGTAAAACGCAATTTCCTGATGCGGATAACATTGGAGGTGCTGCAAAATAAGAACAGAAGATGATGAGGGTCAGAACTTAAAAGCAACTGTGCCACTTCTGCAACATCCCTCGGAGGCCGCGTATCCACGAAACATGAAAATAAAAACGGCATACTCGTTAGTTTGATACAAGCAAAACGCAATTTCCTGATGCGAATAAAATTTTAGGTGTTGCTCATGCTTCAAAATCCATGTACAAGGAGATGAAGATGACACAGGCTAGAAATGAAGCACAACGATGTAAATGTAAACAAAACAAAAATGAAAAAATCAAGGAAAGGCAAATTAGATAAACTGGCCTGTAAATTTCTACGATCCGGCGCCAAAGCCATAGAAATACTTAGAACAAACGAGTGGGACGCTTGGGCTGTTTTTATTCTCATGTTTTGTGGGAATGCGCGGCCTCTGATGGATACTGCAGATGCAGCCGAGTTGCTCTTGAGTTCTGGCCCTCGTCATCATCTTCTGTTCTTATTTTGTAGCACCTCCAATGTTATCCGCATCAGGAAATTGCGTTTTGCTTGTATTAAACTAACGAGTATGCCGTTTTTATTTTCATGTTTCGTGGACGCGGCCTCCGAGGGATGTTGCAGAAGTGGCACAGTTGCTTTTAAGTTCTGACCCTCATCATCTTCTGTTCTGATTTTATAGTGTTGAATCCGGATGGTAGTAGGCAGAATCGGCAGTAGAAGAATATTTATTAGACGAATGAAACTCAACAAAACAGTGGGGTTTATATACCCCCGATATGATATCAACATTTAGGCGGAAAAACTGTTTCACTTTTCCACAGGCACGGTGTCGGCCTATCCAACACCTCCCCCCTAAGATGGACACTCTAGGTGTACGTCTTCTTCCTCGGGTCGATAACCAATCGTTGCGGTGCACGGCGTACTCTTGCTGCTTTTTCTCTTGAGGCATCATTTGTCGTGCATGTAGAGGTGTCGATCGTTGGTGTGGTCTGCAGGTTGGTGGCGGCTGTAGTGGTAGTTGGTGGCGTCGAGCATGGAAGCAACGGCAGTTCGGAAAGTTCGATGTCTGGCTCTGTAGTACATGGAAATTTGATGAAACGAGGACGCAATTGGTTAGCGTGCCGTCTCCATATTTGTCCATCTACTGAGACATCATAGAGCCTGTTGCCATGTCTTTGCTGTATATGACCGGGCATCTGTCGTGGTGTTCCAGAACGATAATCCATTGTCCAGATTGAATCACCCACGTTAAACTCCTTCTGCCGTGCTCCATGGTGGCGATTGTATTGGTCTTCCATCTTCTTGTTTCGCATCACTTCATTTCGAGTGGCGGACGGCCTTCAGAAGGCTGAGTTTTGTGCGGATCTCTCTTCCGAGAAACGCTTCAGCTGGTGATTGTCCTCCTGGCGTCGAAGGGCAAGGGGTTCGGCGGTAGTTCAGCAGAAAGTTTTGTAGTGCTTCACTCGGCGACGAGGTTTCCTTCATCTTCGCGAAACTCCTTTTAAAAGGTATCTACGAAGCGTTCTGCCTGGCCGTTAGACTGCGGGTGGAACGGAGGTGACTTGATGTGTCCTTATACCGTTCTTCTTGCAGAACTCGCTGAAGTCGTTGGATGTAAATTGAGGTCCGTTGTCCGTCACTAGCGTTTGTGGATTTCCGAATTGGGCGAAGAGTCGGCGCAATTCTCTGATCGTGCTGCTCGTTGTCGTAGGATGCCATTTCGACGATCTCCGGCCACTTTGAGAAGGCATCAACGATGATGAGGTACATCTTCCCCTCCATCGGTCCAGCGAAATCGGCGTGTATGCGATCCCACGGTTTCTCCTCCATCGGCCATGAGCAGAGGGTTGCTTTGATAGGGCTCTTCGCAGTTTCCTGGCAGCGGCGACAAGATTTGACGAAGTCTTCGATGTCGTTGTTGATGTTCATCCAGTACACAAATTCCTGGCGAGCATCTTCATCCGTGTCATTCCTGGGTGCCCATCGTGAAGTTCGCATAGTACGGCATTTCGTAAGGTTGCGGGAATGACGAGGCGATCTCCAAAAAGTAGACATCCATTTTGTGTCGAAAGGGATCTTCTTAGGGAGTTGAATCGGGTTGCGACATCCGACTTCCTTGGCCACTTTCCATCTCTGATCCACTCGAAAATATTCTTCAGATCGGGATCCTTCTTGGTTTCTTCTGCTACTGTTTCAGCGTCGACTGGCAGTTTCGTCGTTGCATTGGCGAAAATAGTCGTCGAATCCATCTCGATCGCTGCAATGACTTGGTCTTCTTGGGCTGTAGATTGCTTCAGCGATGAGGCGCGATAAGACGTCTGCTTGTCCGAAACTGGTGCTGCTTCTGTACTCAATACTGAAGTCGTAGCTCTTCACTATGAGGGCCCAGCGTTGCAGTCGATTCGCCGTGTAGACAGGCACTCCTTTCTTGCTCCCAAAGATGGCTAGGAGTGGCTTGTGGTCGGTTAACAGCTTGAAGTGACGTCCGAGGATGTAGCGGTGGAACTTCCGCAGAGCGAACGTAATGGCGAGAGCTTCCTTCTCGACTTGACCGTAGTTCTTCTCGGCAGCTGTCAGGGAACGGCAAGCATGGTGTATCGCTTTCTCTGTTCCATCCGAGAAGCGGTGACTGATCACTGCTCCTATCCCGTACTCCGATGCGTCGGCCGCGATGACGATCTCCTTTGTGGGATCGTAGTGGGTGAGCAGTAGGTCCGAGGCTAGCACATCCTTGGCGCGTTGGAAGGCATCTTGGCACTCGGCAGACCATTTGAACGGCGCATCCTTCTTCAGAAGAGCATCCAACGGTGCACGAAGTTGTCGCATCTCGCTGACGAAGTGGCCGTAGTAATTGAGCATTCCCAAGAACGATCGCACCTGGGCAATGTCCGTGGGCTGTGGCATCTTGCGGATAGCCTCGATCTTGGCGGGATCGGGTCGGCGTCCGGTTGAATCGATAACGTTTCCCAGGTATCGGAGTTGTGGCATCAGGAAGTTACATTTCTCGATTCGGACGCGGAAGCCATAATCGGATATCCTTTCGAAGAGGGCTTCCAAGTTGGCGACGTGCTCCTCGATAGTGCGGCCGGTGACGATAACGTCGTCGAGGTATGCAGCGCAGCCTTGAAGTCCGCAAATCATGGAATCAATGACTTGCTGGAAGATGCCGGGCGCAGATTTGATACCAAACGGGAGGCGGTTGTAACGGAAAAGTCCTCTGTGCGTATTAATTGTCAAAATCTCCTTCGCCTCGTCGTCGACTTCGATTTGGAGATAAGCGTCCGCGAAGTCTATCTGCGTGAAAGTCGTGCCGCCATTTAATTTGGTGAATACGTCGTCTGCAGTGGGCAGTGGATGCTGGTGTAGCATTAGGGCATCGTTTAATCCGGTTGAAAAATCAGCACAGAGTCGTAGCGTTCCATTTGTTTTCTTCACGACGACAATAGGTGCTGCCCAGGCAGAATAGTTGACGGCAGAGAGCACTCCTTCTTCGAGCAGGCGATCGATCTCTGCGTCCAAAGCCGTAATGTAGGCGTACGGCACGGGGCGTTTCTTCTTAAAAACTGGATGAGCATTGGGCTTCAACTGGAGCGTCGCCTTGGTCTTCGTACATCGTCCGAGTCCATCTTTGAATACATCGGCGTAGTCGGTCTTCAACTTGGCGACGATCTCGTCTCGGCAGGCGGCGGCAGGATCAGCAAGGATAGTCACACCATTGATGTACTTCTGCAGTGGTTTCACCAAATCTGGGATCTTCTGGATCCACTCCCAACCGAATAAGTCGAGATCTTCGGTGACGTAGCAGAATCCTTGTTCGTGATGCTGCCTTCCATCGGAACTCTTCAACGCAAAATCCACCATGACGCGTCCACTTGTTGGGATCCTCGTACCATTGGCGGCGTTTACGATTGCGTTGTATTTCTCTAGGTGTGGCCTTCCGATTTTCCTCCAGCTCGACCTTGAGATCAGAGTGATCATGGCGCCAGTATCGAGTAGAAGGTTCAGAGAACGTCCATTCACTTCGACTTGTA